ATAAAGTCCCTGAGTTTCGATCTGTCAGCTCGGTCTGCTTTGCAACTACAGTGTTTTGCAAGGATAAAGAGGCAAATGTGTCGCGCAGTGACGAAAATCAAGTCAGCTTCGTCCGCGCGGAGAAAATAAAAGCTCGCAAGAACTTGCGGCTTTGCGGAACAACGACATTAACTGAAGACATGCTACTCAGCACAAATATGCCTGGTATGGCTGCGCCTCGTGCGTAAGCGCTTTAAAAAAAACGAAACTCCAGTCCAGTAGTCCGGAGAGTTTTGGTAATTTCCGTATTTTCCAGACCGTCATTGGAGCTTCGGCGTCCTGACGTTTTTATGAAAGTATAGCAAGTGTATAAAAATTTTGAAATTCCTGATGAATTTCAATAATATCAAAAAGTCCTTGTGAATTGAAGGCGCTGATACTAACTAAAAGCATGGAGTTTCACTGCCCGGATGATAACGCCTACGTGCAGTCTTAATAGAACTGGCAAAATTTGGAAAAATATGTTATTATGTTTGAGAGGGATCAAATTTGCTGCTGTCCTTCCTTCATTAATCCTGGGTATGCGACTCAAGCTTTTTTTCGAGTTAATAACTGACATGTGAATACGTAGAGGACGAAAATTATGCCCATAGTAACAGCGATGAATCCGACTGCAAGACAATGAAGCAAGCGTCGCCCTACACGTTCAATTGAATATTCCAGTGCGGCGCAAATAATGTTGATAGCGTAGCGCGCCAATCCCAGGATGATCACATTTACGTACACTGTGCCCGCCAACGCGTCCATATTATACGCAATACCGTAACTTATAAAACTGGTGGAAAATCTGCAAAAATACTATCCATTCAGCAGCACTTCACGTATGGCACTACTGGTTCTACGGATAGAGTCAAAAATTTATTTTTGCGAGTTCATTCACACAGACCTGTCGAACTGTAAAACAGCCGCCACTATATGACTTGCTTTTTTTTTCCATGCCCGCACTGAGAGGAAAAGCTTGCTTTCGCTCAAAGAATGAAAAAATTCAATCGATGTGGTGGTCCACTCCATTTTGAATGCCCACAGCACTCTGCCTGACCAATCAACCAGCTCTTTTACAGTCACAAAGCAGTAGCATTGAATCTACAAGCAGCCTAGCTGGAGTTTAATCAGGCCAGTTGCTTTTGCTTATCAGACACCAGTTCAGAAGGTGTTGTGCTGTCAATTATGCATTATCCAGAGAATTGCGTAAAAATACTGCCTTTTTCCATCCTAAACGAGAAAGTGAGCAAGCTAACTTTGCAACGGCACATTCAAAATATTGTCTGCCTGCTGGCTACTACGGTAAGCCCCCGCATTTTTGCAACAAAATGTTCAGTGAAACAGTCAAAAATCAAAGCTTCCTCCGTATTCGCTCCCCATGCGAGGTGGAGACATAAATGACACGAGTGGTAGCAGCGCAATTTTGAGCGTTTTCTTCGTCTTTCCGCGTGGCAACAGCGCATTGCTACTGAGCTGTGCCTGACGGAATATGCTCAGTCGACTAATTACTTAAAAACTGCAGACACGAGTTTTGTCCTTCGAACAAAGTTTAATAACCCTGGCTGAGTTTCGTGCTTGTTTCTCTATACTGAATGCCTCTTTTATTAAATTTTACACCTCTCCCCTCCCGTCCCGTCCCAATACTGCTTGAAATCTTTCATTTCTCGTCAG